AAAATTTTTAGTGCAAATTTTGTTTAGCATAACTAGATTTTTAATTTAAAAATCCATAACTGAAATAATAAATGAATCACCATCAAAATGGTTTTCAACATACTACACTGACTAAGTGACACGGCAAGAATTTTTACCTTCTAGCACCACAAATTCAAAGGAATCACAATAATAGAGCCTTTATATTTGTAAAATACTTTAAATAAATAAAATTTAAATTGCATTATTAAACAGACCAAGCTGCATCACCCCAACATTCAACTCTAGCTAAACTGAGGACATTTACCTCAACCAAATTATCTACCATGCATACATGGTCCGTTCGGAAACTCAGTCCAATAAAAACATGAAACCAGAAAATCACTATCATCCGTATTATATTAGTAGCTATAAAATTTCCAGAAAAAAGAAGGGGAAGCGCACCGCGAGCTCATTTAAGCATAAGATCAAACAGTTAACTGGTATTCACTCATGGCCCGTAACAAATCTCCTTCAACCTACTTGCAGCCGACTCCTCCACCGAATACTGCAGTTCCAAGAATACCCAAATGGATAAACCATCATTAAGCGAGATATAGACATCTTCATGTTTGTACATGCGTACGTACCTTGTTTAGGACCCAAAGGGAGTGGTTGTAGGCGCGGTGGAAGAGCTCGTCGAGGGCAGTGGAGTCGGAGGCGTCGACTTCCCTGTAGTTGACGAAGTTCTCGCGGGCGTATTTGGCGTAGTACGGCCTCGTGTCCTTCGGCAGGCGTCGCACCAGCCTCAGCACCTCTGTGTACACTCTCAATGCCTTCTCCATTTTCTTCTCTGATTCTTTTCTTTGGAAAGCAGAAGCTTACAGTGCTCTGAGTTCGGGTAGCGTCATTTGCTCCGCAATATTACTGCGTTTATTGGGCCGCAGTCCAAACCAGAGAGTTGGACTTGAACTGTTCAATGTTATTTGTTAATTGCCCCACTACCTAGGCCCAATTTTTTAATGATGGTGGCCCAATTAAGGGATGATGACCACAAGAATCTGCCACTGTGGGACTGGCAGGGTTACTCGTTTCTCTCTGAATAATAATTGTTATTTTATTTTATTTTTAAATTAAAAATTTGAAAATAATTTTTATTTTTATTTATTTTAAATAAAAAA